TATATAGTTCATTGATTCTTTTACTTTTTGAAAGCAATGTTATGATAAGAATAAGAAAATTAAATGCAAAAAATATATTTCATCAAATTATAATTAATGACTCGTTGATGGAACTATCTTGATTTTTGTGGCATAAACTTCTATAATTGGGGTGTTGGAACGCCCTGTCATGCTTCAGTAAGTGCTTTTCTTGGTATGAGTAACCCACCTTTTGCACTCTGGTTCAGTTAGATCATGAACAAACTTATCAAGTCGCATGTTGATGTCCCTACAAAAAATCTAATTCGCTCAATATTTTCCAAAGCAAAATGATGGAATCACCATGCAGGCGAGAGGAAAAGAAAGCTATGGTGAAGGAAAAGGCTCATCTATGTCGAATCATATGGGCTTGGCTGATTCACTCTTAGGCACCGTGCTGAAAGATTTTCACCAGACTGGTGTGTTCACTGATTTGATCGTTAGACCACCTTCTATGGCACAAGATCTTTTAACCGATCAGACTACTCAAGTAATTTCAGGTATGGTTCCACAGCTTTCATTGGTGTTAGTTGGTTCGTCATCTGGATGGGAGTAATAGTTCCTTCATTTGGTCGATTTGGATTCAACGGGATGTGAAGAATCGCTAGGTATTGACTTGCGTGACGAAGGTGAAAGAGAAGGTGATAACCCTTTGTTAGGAGTTTTTAGATATTCCCGAAAGATATCTCGAGTTTTTTAGGCACAAGCCGAGTCAGATCCGATGAATCAATTTAGGTCTGGAAGAAAATTTTTGCATAAGAAGTTGTTTCAACTAGGATATATCTCAGTTGATGTGATAATATATCCTCTTGTATTCGACATATTTCTGAGCACTACATTGTAATCCTTGCTATCCTGCAATAAATTTACTTATTTTCTTATTTTTTTACTTCTTACTTTTATTGGTCATTTTTTGTGGACGATCGGACACAGCAGGCACAATTTCTCTATGCTTTTATTTCTCTCTTTTTGAATTACATTTTGGTGATGGCTCAATAGCTTCTCAGTATTCTCCGAAGGATTTGAAATCAGTTACCTTGAACGACCAATCTCGGATGATTCAGGAAGAGTCCGATCAACTGCAACAAAGTCATGTCTTAGATACTTCTGTCAGATTTTAAGTTACCAGTAAGGCAAATAAAACAACCTCTCACATTTTATTTTACAAGGATCAGTCCCAGTCATCCTCTGCCCGTTGTTTTTTACCAACCTGCGTTCCAACTTTGCTAGCTATAGAGTCGTCCTGGCTCAAGTGAAGCCAAGCTCCATCAAAATCATCATGTCATTGGCCAAGCTATTCAACTATCTGTTCTCTTTTCGGGTCTGGCCATACAGATTTGTACGTGTTATGGTATGACTCATATATCATATAGGGACAGACGCTGGAACGAAACGGAGCAGAGCGGAGCGAAAGAATCTGTCCAAATTGGGAAGTTACGTTATATGGGTTGGGGCTATACGGTACGGGGGTAATTTGAAAATTACATATTTTACTACAGAGCTTACTCTAGGATTATAAATAGACCTGTTTGT